ATAAAGGCATCAGTGGTCTCTGCAGCAGACCAATTCAAAACAGTCTTCAAAGGTATGCACTGTTTGACCATGTCTGTCTACATGCATGTAAACGTATGTGTATACGCAAGAACACTTAAAAGGGATAGATTCTGACAGTGAAAGTGCGTGGTGGAGAGACATTAGGTTGGGGAAACAGCCTGAATTTCAAATGACTTAAATGGCATGTACTCCCAATTTGTCAATCAATTGCTCAAGGTCTTTCTACTTTGCAGTGTATGGAAATCGTTGCTAGTGTGTTGCATATGCTTCATGTAAATGGTTCCGTGCAGTGAGTACATTTTTCTTGTACAATATTTTAGTTGCCTTTCAAGCCCCTGCCTGGTCTAGGAGGTGGTGATACGTGTTGTCGAATGTGATGATATGCTTATGAAATGAAATGATCTTCAATATCAATCAATAATAAAGACTTAGCTCAAGTTTGTTTCAGTTGAACGTTGGCCAGACTGTTGTCAGTGTTCATGGTGTTCCACAGTGTCCCGTCTCAACGCTGTTTGATACTAGCTGACCCAGTGAGTGAAGATAACAGTTGAATGCAGTTCACTGAATACAGTTTGGGAAACTGGGGGACTGAAAGAACCAGTAAACAGCAAACACTCGCATATTGTGGTGCTACTTGCTGCTGATGTCAACAGCAAAATAGCAACATGCTTTTTCTCATGTAGATCCAGTCTCTTTGATGTAGGTCGGCGTTTTTCTTTTTCCAGCTCTCCTTCTGCCATTGTGCCCCTCAGAATTTACACTCGACTCCCTTACTCTACCTCTTCCTCACATACACACAAATGAACACACACATATATTATTCCTTCCTTGGGGCTATGTCTGACTCCAGCATGAAATCAATTATTGAGCCTGCACCCTCCCACCACCCTTTTTCGGCGCCCATTTTCTCTCACCATGAAGCGAGATCATTGCTGTGCCAGCCTGAGATTTAACCGCCCACCCCCACGCCACCCAAACTAATGCCCCACCCCCTTCTCTGAATCTTACATCTCTGTGCCCTTATAATGCACTCTGCCATCACTGAGTTCCTTTTCTCGCCATCAAAGTGGCTAGAAAAGCCTCATCTTTCTGCCATATAGCCCAAACTTGGAGTAATATGTGTTGTATGAGTGCATATTTTAAATCCAAATAAATGTGAGAATGCATCTCACATTAAAAATTGAGCCCAAACACTGTGAATCAGTAGAACTATGCTCCAGTTTCACCTTGAGTACCTCTATGTGTGGAATACCTATGTGAAAAGTACAAAGACTTATTTGGATATATAATTAAAAAAAAAAAAATCTTGCCTTTGATCCCAAATTGTGCTAGATAGGGCTAAATGGGAGCCTATTAAAACATCACATAATAAATCAAGCTTAACAACGGTTTGGCAACATGACAGCAGCATGAAAAGGTCTCCAGGAATCCCAGAATTGGTATAAAGTGACAAACTGTGAGAAAGTTGAAAGAGGGATGGACATGCAGAGGTGGAACGGCGTGGCTTTTATCACTGTTATTGCCTTCGCCAATGCACACCACTCCTTCCTAATCCCCACTGACAGAGTTTTCATCATCTGAGGAGGTGGAGACGATGGAGGAGTGGAGAGAACTGGGAGAGGTGGGGGACTTTCCTTTACTCTCTCCCCAGTGGCGGTGTACATTGAGCATCCACAGTCGGGGCCACCAAGGCCCCCTTTGTGCCAGTTATCACAAAGTGGTGAGTGATGGTACCGCTGCCTCCCGCTCTTAGAAGAAGGAAAGGGGTTGGGAGGGGAGGGGGAGGAGGTGAAGAGGAGAAGGTGCAGGAGAGGAATAGACTGGAATGTTCCCAGAAGAAACAGAGTGCGTGAAAGAGAGGAAAGAAAAAGAGAGAGCCTGTTTGAAGGGATGGCAGCTATATCATTTGTGCTTGTCTCACAGGTGCAACACAGGAGGAATGTGCTTTCCTATGATGACTCAACTGGGCTTGAATTACCAATGATATCAACAAAAAAAACTCACACCAGTGTTGGAATGTTCAGGACTTCTCATTATCTTTCTAGTTCATCTGATAGTCTTGTTATATTTAACAGGCTCCAGTTCAACAAGCTGATGTCATTCGAGCTCTAACTAGGATCACTGCATGTTTCCTGCTATGATTTCGTGTCTTGACTCAATTACACTTGCTGAGACACGGTCACAAGCACTGAGCAATGGACAAAAGTCTGGATATTGAGAAAACTTTAACACACATCAGAGTCACTGAAGATGGATCTTGGGAACGACACAAGGGGTGAAAGGTCAGATCTCTACCTCCACCCACCCCCACCCCGTTTTCTCTCCCTTTTCCTTTCCCAGACTTCTCCCACACTCGCTCCATCACTAACTCACCTGTGTCCTCACCAGCACCCAGGTCTCTTTTCCCCCTATCTCTGTAACGCAACACACACAGCGTAGACACAGATACCACTGTCACAGACATCTCCCCCTCTCTCTCTTTTATACACATGCATTCCAAACCTTCCCAGCTGCCTACCTGTGCACCTGGGTTGGCAGCTGTCATCACTGTGGTAACGGGCATACAGCTGGCTGTGTCGCTATCACCTGGCTCATCTCCTTCTGAGAGAAAGAGAAGTGGGCAGAAAATATGAAGAGAGGCAGAAAAGGGAAAAAGATACTGAAAAGGTGGTTTTGAGTGAGATGGAGAAGGGGAGACAGAAAGCACAAACCGATGCTGAAGAGAGAGAAAGTGAAAAGGGAAAACTGAGGGACACAAACATTAATAAAAACATAACTACCTTAAAAACAAAAGGAAATATTTCTGACACTGTATAAATAGCAACCTGCTGCATATGTTAGCTTCTCCAGCCTCATCCCCTCTGGCTCTAGTTCATCTGATTAATATCTGTTCTGCACAGTAACCTCTCCTGTAATTCCACACCTGTCCATCAGCTGTCACTACCGAGTGTCCCACCTTTGCTCATCACCTGAGTCAACAGCACATCCAGCTGCTTGTCACTCCATGTCCGCTGACACTTTCTTCGAAGTTGTATGTGTTCATTTAGTGATTCAGCCTGTCTCTTCTGACTTCTTTCTCACTGCTGGCCAGAATCTTATTAGGGCATTTTGAAGCAGGTATGTTTTTTTTCTTTAAAATATCACCCATCTGCAGAGTGGTTTTAAGACATATTCTGTCTCCTGAGTTTAAGTAGATTTTCATTTTGTGACAGCTAAAATAAAATATTTGCCTGATACTGGATGAAATGTCTCTGAAGCCGATTTTTTCCTTTTAATAACTTTATAGTGTTTGTTAGTCATCAGATGAAATCCATCCTACATTATTCCAACCTGTTTCACAGTGTTACAAAAAAAAAGCCTCCCCATCCTTCATAAGGTCAGAACAAGGGGCGTAGCAAAACAAAACATTTAGAGACCCCCTGCATGGGCGACTAAAGTAGCACAGCTTAATGTGAACCATGCTGCTCGGTTGCTACATCTCATGACTTTGTGTGAGAGAGTCACACGCTAGCAGCGTGTGGCAAAGGCACCATGCAGCATATGGGCAGGCAAGGCACGTCTGCTCTGCCTTTTAAGCAAAGGAGACTTCAAAAGGTGAGTTTTTATAGCCCCCTCATATACACACACCATTGCTACCCCCCCACTATAAATCCCACCCTGTAAGAAGCCATTTATGGAACAATAAGAGGCTATTTACTGGCCCTCCAGTAAATTAAGGCAATTCAGAGGTGTAAGATGAAAGATGACGAGGGCTTTCTTTGTGCTAGTAGGCGTGTTTCTTCAAAACTTTCTCCTCTGTAGTCTGTGTGCTATGAAGCAGGGATGGAGAGAAGACAGTGGGCGGTAGGGGCCTGGAGAACTAATGAAACACCAGTAATGATACTCTGAGCTTTCACTGCAAAATGTGAAGAAAGAGTGGTCAGCATGCACAGATTGAACCTCTGAAATTCTATGAGTATTTTAGCTTTTTCTAGGACATGTAGAAATTACAATTTATCTTGAGGCTGTTGTTGCTAAGGCTGCTGCCTCATCTGATGACCTCTCCTGTCCCCTAGGGGTCACATGGTGTTTTCAACTGAATACATACATAAAAACAATTAGTTTAACAGTGTTTTGGCCACACAAACACACACAGGAGAGGTGGACTGGCTCACGTCTGAGTTACTCAGGTGTGGTGAGATCACTGCAATACTGACCCAACTGTTAAGCATATACAACAGCTCTCTGACCTGTAGTGTGCATTGCTGATGGATGTAAAAGCACACCAGTCAAGCATTCTCACTGAGGTTTCCCAAGAGTGAGTCAGCTACCTACAAAGTGACTGAAAACAACTTCTGACAACCCCCCCCCTTTATTTCATTAAGCTTAATGGTCTTTAATAGTTACCAAGTATCACATTAAAGCCAACCACTGTGGCATCTAACAATGCTGTAGGCAAGCCAAGTGTTTGTTGTCAGAATTTTATTGGCTTCCAGGGAGGAGGGCTGTTGCTGTTCAGTGTAATCTTGGCACACCAATAACAGGTTTCAAAAAAGGCAGTTCCTTTCTTATGGTAGTTAAGAAGCTCTTCTCTCCCCTCTTTTGCAAGTGTGTTTGGTAGAATAAATGGAGAGCTACCTGTAGAGAAAACTATCCCCATTTCTTCTACCTAATCTACAATATTTCTGTTTCCCTCTGTCACTCTCTTTTGTCTGCCCTGCAAACATCCCTCTACTCTGGGATGTTTTTTTTTATCTCAGTTCCTTTTCATTATTGTTAATCATTTCCTAACCAAGTTGCTGAGCTTTTTAACTGATATTCTGTGACTTAGTCCACTGCTAGATGGTTTAGTTTGACCACACTGCCCCCTTTAGGGTAGGGTTTGCTGTTGCACATCAACAAAGGTAGAGAGGCACTGAGCAATATCTATAGACTATTAAAAATTACTTTCCCCTTTCAGTTGCACATACTGTTTTAGAAATATATTCATATATTCAGAGGAGAACAAAATACTATGATTTAATTGGAGGTAATCCAGTGATATTCACTGAAATAAACTAGCATGTTCCTCATTTATGGAGCCAATTAATCTGACCATTCTGTATTTAGAGATATTTATTACACTCCTGTGATTGTCAGGCTTCTTTGCCTGTGGCTATCATTAGAAAATAAGTTTTCATTAATGTGAATTTAAGATACACTTAATCGCAATAAGAATTCAGATCTTAGAATAAACACTCAAGTGCTATCTATCTATGTCGTCCAGGAGGAGCATAGACTTACCTGATTTGGAGTTCCACCTGTCAAGAGACTCAGGGAATTCCCCGAGGTGACTTTACTATTCATTTAATCCCTACAAGAAATTAGTTAAAATTTTTATGTGTTGTGTTATGCTTGTGGGATCAATATACTGTCAGGCCTAATAGGTGTCAAAGTAGAACCTGCAACAAAAGGTAGTACACCTGTGATAACTGCAACAAAAGTGTTTGTGCCTGTGATTCCCAGTTAAGGCTACCTACATGAACAAGGTTCTAAGATAACCTATGAAAACTGCAGCTTTCTCAGTTTCTATATGTCTTTATATGAGGATTAGGGGAGATTTCATAAAGCTAGAGTATCAGTAGGTGACTAAACATAAGATGATAGCATGACAGTGATCCCAAACACACCGCAAAAATTACACAAAAGCTTTTAACAATAAAGGTTAATCTTTCATATAAAAATACATGACACAGTTGAAAGTTTGAATTTAGGTGAAATGTCTGATTTGCTTTCTTCTATAATAGCAACCAACACAAGTTAAATTTTATCATCTTTGGACAATTCAGCTTATTGACCAAAAGTCACATTTGTTGGGGCCCAGTGACTTCACCAGTCCTCACATCGAGTTTAAAACAGGAGCTTGTTGGAGCCGTCTTTGCTAACAGCTGCGCCATGTAAGTACATCACCCCATCACTTATACCACTGATCCTGGGCTGTAGTTTGGCCTTTCACAAGCTCTTTTACAGACAGGGATGATGGAATAATCCTGGAGAAGCTTCTGAAATGGGAATGCTCATATATAAAACCTCCAGAAATCACTGGTTATAAAATTTCCATAGTTGCTCTTATCAGCCAGAGGTGCAAAATGCCCTCTTAGGGGCAAAACAAATACATAGATGATTAGTGAATAAGGGAATAATACTGGGTCAAATGAGTCACTTGTTATGATCTAAATTATTTTACAATATAATTTCTAGTAAAATAATTCAAGAGAATATCATTAATCCTGGTTTCAGAAACCTTTTCCCATATAAAAGACACACCATGAGATTCGGCCTATACTGGCGGGGCCACAGCTGAGGGGGTTTCCCATGTTAACTAGGATTTGTAACCAACGGTTTACATAGCAGCATAATCATCGTCATTTGGCTCCGACTCCCAGACGCATCCAGAGGTCATCCATGATTCACTCAGATAATGAGCCTCATCACTTAAACTGTCAACCGCTCTCCTCCAAGGCCCAAGCTAATATTTGCAGCCAACAACACACTGAGAGGTAAATGAGCAGTGATCCCATACAACACTGAGCAGTGTCAGACATTACTGTAAGCAAATGAATGATTAGATACTTACTGTACAGTATATGGCATACCACTGAAATGTATAGTGTAGTACTGTGCAAGACCGGGAGTAGGATAAGGTAAACATGAAAACTGAATAGCTTCACAGTCACTGATGCCACTTCTCACTTCATTTAAACACAAGCAAACAGCCTTTCCCTAAAGTGCATCTTGTGTAAAAGTAATTTTCATAAGGGACTGACATAATGCTATAAATGTATTAAGCACCGTGAGACAACAGACCATGAATTCATCTATCAACAGCATTTATGAAATGGGAACTATTCATCCATATAGTCCTTGCAGTGGACAAATCTATAAAGTAGACTTTTATTACTTGGTACAACCTCTTTCACTTTATTAACTGTCAAATTGCAAATTGAAATTCAAAATTATGACAGATGTGCTCAAAAATGTTCATTTGAACACATGTATATGTGTTCATGTTTATAATGTACTTTCAACTTTCACCTTCAGCCTCCGTATGAGATAAACAAGACCACCAACATTCAGTAGCATTGGTAGGTCAGCATACCTTCTTTGGTTGGGCTCAAATCCTCACCCAAATATACTGCAGATGATTCTTTGGTGCTGTTTAATTCATAATACCTTTTCATCCTCTCTTCCTGCTATTTCCTGAAATTTTTTACGGTGTTTGTTACAGGCAGTCAGGGCAGAGTGCCACCTGTCCAGGTAGGTGAGCTCTACAGGGACACAGTCTGCGGTGTGAAGGGTCAGAGCCAGCACAGCTGTAGCCTATATAATGGAAAATATGGGTAGGTTTACATATGTATATGTTGTATCTCCATATGAGCATCCCTTACTTTCTTATTTTATTACAAATGGTATTGTTATCATGTTGTTGTTTGGGAGGAAATACATGGCTACACAAAATGAAACACCGGTTCTAATAAAGACCGTGTATCAGATAATACACAAGCTTTGCTTGTGTTTTTTCCCTGATGTGAATATGTGTACCATATAGTGTGTATCATATCAGCAGTGTGTATCTGCTGATTTCTCACCTGGTGAATGCAGCAGGGCTGTTGACGTGGTGAAACAGAGCAGGCTCACATACTAGGGTATAGCGGTGACACACAGTAACACACGACTGCCCCAGGGGGCCCAGGTGTACCCTTAAAGCACTTCGTGGTGGCCAAGCAGGGACAGATTTACTGCTAAAGTTCTAGTGATTTAAGAGAACCAACAGTAAGAAAACTGACACTTGTTGAGAATATAAAGCAAAAACTGAAATAGGTTTCTAAAGCTATCCACTGCATTTTGCGATTTGTTTCACACACAGCTTGCAAAAACAGGTGAGTATCTATGACTCTGCAAGATCACATTGCTTTAAGAGCCCAGTTTGGTGGCGGAGCACCCAATAATATGTCAGCTCTCCCTACCTGGTGAGTGATGTAAGCATGAACCCGCTCCAGCATTCCCTCACAGGTGAATTCTCTGGGAGTGAACGGCTTCACCTGCAAACACACACAAACATTTCTATTCTGTGTTACTGTAAATAAAATGTAGGCAGAACAACATGTACAGGTATGTATAAAAACTATACAGTTTGTTTATTCAGTGCTACCTCTGTGCTTAAAATGGCTTTCACTGCCTCCCGTACATCAGTCTTGTTGGTTATGTCCACAGTCCACACATAGGGTTTACCAATGACTTCTTTAGCATAAGGGTGCTGGGAAGTGATCTAAATCCAACAATATTGATTGTCTTTCAATCTAAAAAAAATTGATGCACAATAGTATATGTTCAATTAAAACTTTTTTTTTAGTTTGTGGCGTTACTAACCTGCCTTGTGGTGGGCTTGCCCTTGTAGAAGTCAGTGTTGTCTGATGAGTGTGGAGGCTCAAATCGTGGCTGAAGGAAGACACATCCCAAAGCTACTGCCTCAATGGGAGCTGGACCCTCATAGGGGAATCCAAGCCCTACAAACACCTGAGAGGGAAGCAGCTTACTGTAAATGATTCAGACTGGCTGGCCTCTTAGTGTTATTATGAGACGACCTGTTATCTGACCTTGGCTCTGCGGAGAAGTTGTAGGAAGTGTTTCTGAGTGAGCAGGCCGTGGTTTCTGATGAAGCTGGGCAGATTAGAGGCATGTCTTGGAGGTTGATAGACTGTGGCATGGGTCTCTAGCTCCTCACTGATCACATCCACATACTCAGATTTACCCTTGTACATATGCACAGGACACAAAGTATTTAGACTTAAGACCAGCATGTACAAAAACACTAAACTGTCTTTGCATGATCTTCACTATTACTGTATGTAAAATATTGCAGTGGCTGAATTCTTGACATGTTACTCGCAAACTCACAGACTTCATACATACTTTAATAGTGCTCTTTTAATCATTACCTGCCACATGTAGTCCTGTTTACCATAAACGACCGCTATCCTGTCTTTCCTGTAGGCATCTGGCTCCCGCTCCTCCTCTCTCACTGCCTCCTCACTCACAAAGCCCAGGAAGGAGTTATCAGGAGTGTGAGCTGGAGACAACAGAACACAGAGCAGTTAGATGACATTTTAAAAGATAAATTGCACGACAGACACTGTAATCAGCGTCTATGGTCTCAACCTGCATTTGACACTGAAATTCCCCATCGCAAAAAAAAAAAAAAACATTGTACAAGAAAACTGACTCTAGACTAGAGTCACTACTTTGTGTGTAATGAAACTTAAAACTGTCAGAAACATAGTTCTTATTTTAGGAAAACAACTAAATATGGTGAACAACTGTGCACATATTCTCCTTGTGGGGGGAAATGTGATTGGAGGATCAAGAAATACTCTAAACTAATATTACAGGTGAAAAGCAGCAAACATAAAACGTTTTGTGGAAGAGGAAAAACATGCTGGCCAGAAAACCTGTAAAAAAAAAAAAAATATATATATATAAAGGCAGTTGTGGGAAACATGAACTCAAGGTTAGGGGCTGTTTGGACAGGCAGCTGCCACCCCTCTGCCCTCTTACACCCTGAGGAAGGTGTGAGAGATGAATATTTACTTTACTAGAAATGTGCCGACAAAAAATGGTCTGTTTTTGTGAACATAGGTGCAAGCAGCGATTTAAACATTTGTGTGTGTATGTGTGTTTGCTTGAGTCATTCTCTCTTGTCTAAAAGTTATTGTTTAAAAGACTTTTGCCAAATCTCCCCTCATTCACCCTTACACCAGCACAGAATTTCCTCCTGGCTCCTTTTCAGCTCCATTTGTCCTCACTTGACTCTAACACCTGTCTTGGTTCATCACTTCACACACTCACCCATCAGATAAGCAGAGATATGCAGCAATACACTGGTATGATCAACACCACGCAGTTTGTGGGGCTTTAAAGAAAAGCTGTTTAGCACAATCTTTTTCTTCTCCATTTCAGATCAGGAGCAAAATACACCCGCACACTCTTTTTTTCAAGCTTATTTTTCCTATTTCCTTTTGCCTATGCTGTCTGTCTTTTGCTCTTTCTACTCTTTATTCACTATGAGCCAACAGCTATCTCTCTTCCCCAGCAGGACAGATAAACAGTGCTCCAAGCTGAGGGATGAGGAGTGGCTCTCGGCCCACCATGTCCAGCTTGTCTACATCTCCTGGCACGATGGGAAAGATGACAGGAAGAGGTGTTGGAATGAAAGCACTGTCTGGCCACCAGGTTTATTTAACCTCAGCCATTAATCCTCTCACTGTGAGGATGCTTAAGGGTGTGTATGTGAAGGATCAGTGCTGCAGCAGGATGACAGAAATATGTGTGTAAATTTGTGTGTGTACTTGGCATTACTTATCTTGTGGGGACCAAAGCCTGTTTGCACACTGAGGGAACTCAGCCTTCCTCATAGGGATGTAAATCACTGAGTTTTAGAGCGAAGATTTGATTTAATATTATGGATAGGTTATAGTTAGGGTAAGGACAAGTAATGGTTATTGGGATAAGTCTCCAGGAAATTGATATAAGTCAATTTAAAGTGATGAAAATGTGTGTTGAGTGTCTACAAGTGCATTTCTGAATCAGTGCATTGTACTTGTCATACATTGTCACAGCTGTGGTCTCAAATGGATGTATTATTAAGGGGTGTAAACACATTACACAATGACAATGTTCCCAGTATATATCGCTATGTACTGTATGTAGCACTGACACACACACACACACACACACATACTTACGGAACATGGTCATGTACTGCAGAGGGTGGAGACCCCAGCTGCCCCAAAGTGTTTTATATCCCCACCTGCGTGCATAACTCCCCAAGTTAAAGGCTGGCTCAGTGCCAAAAGAATCCAGGATTCTGAAGCGGCACCTAGAACAATTTTATTTAATTAATGAACTGTCAAGTACAGTATGCCTGCTTCACATTAAAACAATATACCAATGTAAGCTAGATTTAAAAAGTAAGATCATAGAAGGAAAAAAATCTGAAGCATGTGATTCTTTTTAATACTGGTTGCTATTTTATTTATGATCATCATTAAGTGGATGTGTAAGTGTATCTAAGGTCTTGGTCCCAAAGACAATAGAGAGGACAGAGAAGTTTGAATAGTCTAGAAGCATAATGATGTATTTAAAAAATTGTGGTGGTACTGGTAATGCTGGAAAGCCAATCCCATGGCTCCTTGAAGGTGAGCAAGGCCATGGTAGTCAGTATAGATGAGGTCAAAGGTCAGGGGCCTCTGGATTGGACAACTGCCTCGGCCGGGAGCAGCACCTATCAGGCTGGACCAGTCAAACACACGACAGGTTAAAAAAAATACCACACTTATGTCTTTTGCTTCTCTCATTCCTACTGTATTATATTCCTAATGTATACCTTGAGGTACCCACAAATATTTCATATACAGTGTCAGTATCATATCAGTACTGCCGTGTCTGAATTCTATTCAATTTAATTAAATAATCAGGTCTCACCAAACAAACACAATGATTTTATGTCAAATGGTTGGAACCTGTGAAGGTGGTGCTGGGAGGTGCTGAAAGTTAGGTTCTGGCCCAGGATTGTCAGACAGGCACTGAGGTCAGCCCACTGGACAAGTTCCCCTAGAGGGCCCCCTCTCTCCACCATGGCTTCAAAATGCTGGCCAATGCTTCCAGCCAGGGCACCAAGATAAAGCAGCACCTATAGGATGTAAGGTTTTTAAGTAGCTAGGGCAGACAATGTATATAAAAGAAAGGGTTCTCATTCTTGTGCTGTCTTTGCTTTCTTACATCCAGTCAAGTATAATATGATGGAGGAGTTATTGAAGCCATTTTCTTGAAAGTCGTGAGGCAGCAAAGTGCATGACAGAACTGACATATACCCTCATCTGAGTTGAGACTGTCTTGTTGCTGCTCTGCCTCATCTTCAGACCAGCCTGTGTCCACCCTACAGACATCCTTTCCACTCTGGTCTGGATGAACCTCATTGCAGGACTCGTGTTGTTGCTGATCACCTCAAACAGCTGATTCAGAGTTGTACGTATCTCGGCCTGTGTACAGACATGATGTGATTAAATATTGCAAGCTAATGCAAAAATATGTATCTAAGAGAAATTAAAGTTTTGTTTTAGTAGAGTAGATCTTGACCTTCATATTACAGTAATACCCATTAGTATGAACCTGATGGGAATTTACCTTCTTTTTATAGGACTGAGGTTTCTCATGCCATGGCAGTCCAGAGTGGCTCCTTCCAAGACGAGGGGGACAAAAGTCCTCTATCTGGCTGAGGTAAGTCAATATGGAGCAGGTGGTACCATTCACTCCATAAAAGACATAGCAGGGGTCGGACTGCCAATGAGCCTGCAGGTACTGCCACACAGAGGCAGAGATGTTAAACCAAAAACAATTACACAGACATTCGGTTACTTGCAACAATTCATCATTTAGATTGGTTCAGCCAGCCTACAGTATGAATTATATCCTATACTGCAGGTTCAGTTATATAAAAATAGTATTTTTATATCCAACTCAAACTTGCTCAAATGTTTGGAAGGAAAAATTACATTTAAATCTTTGTCAATGACAGCCGTTCGATACAACCATTTCAGTGCACAGGCAGTCATGAAGTTCATACTACCACATATATTTCCAATATCTCACCTCCACTTTCTCTGCACACACTGGATATGCAGGATCCATTGGCACCTCACACATCTTACTGGGCTCTGTGGGTAAGATATCAGCCGTCACTCAGTTTTGCCTTCATGTGGCCAGTTTGAATGCATCATTATTCTACAATCCTGACTATAGAAACAAAGTACATTGTAAAGTTAACTCGGCGTGGTTAATTATGAGCAGTGGGCAATGACTTCAATATATAACCTCCTAACTTAAATATGCAAAATGAATAGCAACCATCACTGTATAGTGTGGCCATATACTACATGTGAGAGGCATTAGAGTAGAGGCCATGTGTTCTCAGAAGCCCTTTTCCGTCAGCCCCCCTCCATCTTTAGCCAGTGTCAGTCAACTGGAATGAACACACACTCACACACACCTGACCCACCTGCCTCCTACCAAACATTCCCTTTTACAGTGCTTACATTCCCCTGCCAAAGTACACAGTCTTTGTGTAAAATAACCTCATAAAAAGTAAGAGAGAGAAAAAAGGATAAGAAAACCTGCAGGTATAGCTGAAGCGTTAAACCCTTGAAACAGTGATATGTTATTGGAGCATAGCAAAGGAGAAATAAGTGCTCCCTCTGCAAAAACAAGAGTACGTGTAGACATGTTGGTGAAAGGACTCCTGGGTAATTCAGTCAAATTTTATGGGTGTGAGGTAATGTGAGAGGAAGAGGGTAAAGGGCGAATAGGCTGGTGATGAGGAACTGTGTGTACATACTGAATATGTGTGTACGTGAACAAGTGTGCAACCCTCGCAGTATGTCTGGTATAATGTCTATGTGCCCCAAGCTTTATGAATTCCCCTTTTTCAGGGAAGCATGCACCCACTCATCCTCTTTGTCCACACACACATACACAGCCCCTCACATGCATGAGGCATAACCTTACTCTCACCTCTTCAGGAGGGTTGTAACAGACAAACGTTTTTCCTCCCCACTTGTTAGCTGCTGACTCTGTGAGACTTGTTAGATTTCTGTTCACAGACTTCATCCCCTATAACCACCTGCACCCCCCTGCCCTTCAACTTCCCCATTCACACTCTCCATTATCACAACTTGTTAGTTTCACTGTGTGTTTAACCTCTACTGAGGCTATGAAACGTGCATTTTGCTTGGAACATCACACTACAGGCAATCAGACAAGCTTGCAATTGGTCAATTATTGAAGCTGGAAACATGCAGTGGAAGGATAGTTTATTTATTTTGTTTAGCCAGAATGTTAAAATATGTTATAACTGGAAAATAACTAAAATCTCTGTGTTGGACAATGAGGTGTTTTTAGTAAAGTACACATAGAAAAATTAAAGATAGTCATCATTTGTATGCAATAGCCTAGTACACCTGTCTACTTTAAACCCTGTAAATCCTCCTTCTGTTGATATCAAGTTCTATTTATGACTTTATACTTGTTTACCTACAGAAAATGACAAATCCAAAGTAAAGAACAAAATACAAAAATGTCTCCTGAACTGTCCATCCAATAAAAAGTGAACACATTTCTCAAGATTTTCAGAAAGAAGAGGCCAGAAAACTTGTTTCTCTTGTCCAAAATCAATATAATAAAATTGGACAAAATTGTTTTATTCTTAATTTTTTTTCCCTCTTCTTATCCTGGCTGCTCCCACTAGAGGTCTCCACAGGGGACTCATCTGTCTCCATACATATGGAAATCTCGATCCACATATGTGATTTGGCACCGGTGTTTTTTTGCCTTTCCCAAACACAACCCTCCTATTTTATCCAACCTTGGGACCAGCACTGAGAGTGCACTGGTGTGTACAACCCCAATGACTGGAGGTGGTGCATTGGCTAAGAGATTAACCCCAGCCACCCACCTGGCAAGCAGGAAATCTGCCTCTGAACTGCCATTGCACCACATCAAAATCTCCCCAAAATAATAAAATGGCACAAATCAATTAAGACCAATTAAATGTGACAAAAGGCTTGGCTTTACCAGTGTGTGGTATGTGGTCATCACGTGACTGTGGTGTGTGAGACTGATGGTGATGGTGAGGATGACGGCTGAGCCTATCAAGCCTCTGGGACACCGTCTTCAGTTCCTTTTCTACCAGCAGGGCCAAACTTTGCTGGTCCAGTCTAAACCTGGAGGAAACAAACAGAAACCTACATGTAACCACATTGGATAAACAAATAGAAAAACCTATGTATGTACTTTCATGCTAGTGAGATCTAGATGTTCCATGCATACGGTTTATATGTTCAGATGGTAGGTGTAGTTCATACCTCTGCTGTAGTAGACTGAGTTCTTCCACCTGAGTACTTAAAATCCCTAAGCGAAGAGCCAGTCTGTGAGAGCTACGCCCACGATGACCTATGACAATGAGGATATATAACATGGTATGTGACGCATGTACAATATAATATGTTTAAGTAGTAAGTTTTATGTTAACTTACTGTAACTTGCACTGCTGCAAATCAAGCAGTGCTTATGGTCATGTGTATTTTCCATATTTCATGTAGGGGGTAATGGCATCTAATGATTTTCCACAAGAACAAATATATAATGGCAGGATTGTAATGAGTCATAATTTTAAAGCAAATATTTCTAAAAGTGCAACTGGAGCTTAGTAGTCATCTCACATTTAGTATACACACCCACACTCATATAAATATGCTGTTAACAGCTAAGAGAAAATGTTAAAATATGTGTCTGCCTGACCTACAGTAGTGCTAGTCATGGTTAATCTCCTTGTTAGCTGCCTGGCTAGTTATCAGAGGTTACACATACCACAACTGTAAAAACAGTGAGCTTTCAAAGCTCACTGCTGAGGCTTAAATTAGCTTTGTGAGACAACAGATCAAGAATTTCTTGATTGTATGAAGTTTAAAAAAAGTTGTGTTTACAGTACATGAGGAATATTGAGGATTATACTGTAGACAACTGGGGGGTTAGTGTAGTTCACTACATATTTCTGGACTTTTTTTATAAGACAAGTAAATCTCCACAAAGCATGATTTAAATAATTTTATGTCACTGCCTTTGAGGACATAGAAAAGCTGATTTTACAATTAAATATAAAACTTGTTAGGATGGATTATTTTTCACAGAGACTGACTGAAGTGACTTACCCTGTTCTTCAGGTGATCTCCCTGCAGGTTCATCGCTGTTCATCTCAACTGGCACCCAGAGGCTCTGTAGCAGCAGGGTGAACACTGACAGGCACAGACAGAGCACCAGGCAGCCACTAGAGGGCACAATACACAGAGATCTCAATGCTTTGGCAAACAAATACAGAAGAACATCATAAGTACAGCCACCAACAAATGTTTATTTGAACTTCATTCAAAGTGGATATTATTTAATGTAACTTTTCATGTAAGAGGGATAGTTTGTTTCTAGACCTATGTATTTCTTACTTTCAGTAGGTTGAACTGTTTATTACTTTTATCTTTCCATCTCAACTGTAACTTTAAGCTAAATTCCTGTTGGCTAATGAGCTATTTTCCAGCACGCCCTCAGTCTCAGGTGTTACAGCTGACTCAGTATGTGTGTAACTTTTTTTTTTTTTGTTTAATCAAATCATATCCTCAGGGCTCTTCCTCAATTGTGACTAACATACAGTGTAAAGCTATGAGACTGGCCCAAAATCAGGCCCTGTCTTATGCATCACATTTTTAATAAGCATGAACACCTCAGTACGTAACAGAGTAAACTCTATATAGGTCATTTTCTTTGCATGTTTTTGGACACATATTAAAGGTAACTGTATATCTGTATATCTGAACTGTAATGTGCCATTAATGTATCACAAACTTCACTTTAACTGGGGCAAACAGAGCAAACACTTCACTCTCACTTTCATCAGGTCAGAAAGCCCAACAACCCTACCAACAACTACCCAAAAAGCAGTCAAGCTAATACATGTACAAACACTTTCAAGGCTCTCCTTGTGTCAATAAAGCTCCACATTACAATCCAGATAAATTATTTTCAATCTATTAGTCTGCATTTCATTAAAGGTGTCAGAGCATTCATCCCATCTGGTTAAGGGTTTGGCCGATATATGGAAAAGAAACAGTTAAACTGCAGGAGGGATCATAATAAGACAGATAACTGTAGTTGGTCTGATATCTAGTGTAGGTGATATCATGTGCGGGGATATCCAGCTCCATTGTAAGGGGAGGACATGATTACACAGATAATCAGTTATGTTTTAAACCGTGCTTTCACATCAAGTCAGTCAGTGAGGTGCCACTCAGACCTAGCAATTGTTAAAATGAGGATGGCATTGGAATTTTTTTTTTGCTTTCATACAGCTAAACTTAAAAAAAAAAAAAAAAAAAATCAGTGCAGGAGCAGACATGCATGAGGTAAGGTGCATCAGGTACTTTCTATTGTACATGGTTTATACTTCTGATCTAATACTGGTGAACCTTACCTGCGCAGCCGTAGCGCCACACGCATGGCCCTCGGTTCACAGTGTGTTGAATGTCACTGTCAAAACAAGCACATTGCATATACATGTGCAACATGCTTAGTAATAAATGTGTTGGGCAGAAATATACATAATTCATTATACTATCACACTGTCTGCACTGAAGAGCCAATGTAATTTAATGTTTTAATTGCAAACAAATGGAAAGTGGTCTTTCTGTGTTTGTGGTAGTTAAACATGTTCAGAGTCATAAACAAATTATAAACATTAAAGCTGCTTTTACCAAACTGTTGTTCTGTGTCAATGTGAGAAAGACACAGATACTTCAACAATTTGGCACATACAAGTCAGCACACGGACAACCACAGACACACGGGTACACACATGCATACGTCCTCACCTCCTTGGGTCTCCGTCCCAGCCCACTGGCAACCATCAGGCCTTGTGTTTGCAAAACACAAACTTTAAAAAAAGGAAAATTTTGGGGCT